CTCCCCACCCAAAAGAAACAAATACATAATTGCAAGATTTTAATTTCATAGACAGTTGGAATGATCTACAGTAGTAATCAAAAACCCCAAGTTTAATTAGTGGTGTTTGGTGACAATAAATTGTTGGAATAATTGAAAAAGATAATTAATAATGCCATTTTGTCCTTTGCACTGACTACACTATTAACAGTTTCAATGTTAAATTTTTTATGCCTATTTTCTTTTAATTTTATTATTGTATTGCTGTACTTTTTACCATTGTAGTAGCAATCATTTACTTATGTTTGGCACAGATAGCCATGGTGTTTTATGTCATGAAACCCCAAATGCTTAAAAGCAATAAATCACAGCATGAGAAAATTAATTGTTGTCCTTAGAGCTAATGTAAGTAGCACTGGATCTAAAGTCATATTTTGTACCAGCACTAGATCTAATGGAATTTTATCCATTTTATTTTCATGAAGTTTTGTTAGGCTAAACAGAAAAGCTTATTTTTACATCTGACATTCTCTTCTAAGCCTTGTAGTGTCTCACAAATTTAGGTCTGCAAAGTAAAATTCATGTAATTTTCAAATATGCATTACAGAAAAAATACGGTAGAAACTAAAAGAGAATGTGTAGTTTTTTACTACTATAGTTTATTCATCTTTCTAAGTATGCTATTAAACTTAAATGAAGATTTTGTTTTTCTACATTTCTCTTTATTTACAAAATCAGAGGTGTTTAAAAATAGCATTTTATGTATCTCATACAAGTTGCTGTCCAAAATGCTTTTCATTCAATACCAGAAATCAGTTAAGTTGGATGATGAGAAAAGTTTATATGAAACTATGTACATATATATATGTGTGTGTGTGTGTGTGTATATATATATATGAATAGCATTTCATAGTCTTGTTTGTTAGATTGATAAGAATGAACTAAAAACATTGCAACTTTTTTTTTTTTACAAATTGTTTACTACAAAAGATTGAAATTATTATTGGCTTTACAAGTAATGGGCATGCACAATATTAACTTCAGTGAATTGGTAATACAATAGTTTGATTCCCATTGTCTCCAAACTTGATCACCTTGTCGATTTTGTGTCAAAGCTACTTAGGCTATTTGTCACTATCCCTAGTTTTGAACAGTTTACAAGAGAGAAAACAAATGGCTGACAGCACCCTCTGTCAACTTGTTTTTCTTTCTTTCTGGTATGTACCAAGTTTTGACTAACATTGTATGCTGATGCAGCATGTTTCAGAGCAATACAGTACAAGCGTACACCAGACTACAATTTGCTGCTCCATTCAATATTGAAATAATAGCTTTTAAAAGATAGTAATATGATTAGAAAAGCGTATTTCATTTTAATATGGGTACTGAGCACTTCATATGCAATCCCTGATCATTGGACAAAAATAGATGTGAGGGTTGAAAACATTGTGAAAAATGGTAAATTTAAGTTGATTTGGCTTCAAATTGTGTGCTACTTGATCAGTTAAATGTTTGAGACAAATATGGTTCAAGAATTTACCTTTCTCTTATTTTCAGGATATTCATCCATTTTTTGCAGACTTGATGAATGTGTTGTATGATAAAGATCATTATAAGCTTGCACTTGGTCAACTGAACACTGCTAGACAACTTGTAGATAAGTATGTTTATTTTTGGTTTGTTTGTTATAAGTATGAAACCTACATTCTTTATTTTCACTCAAAAACTATTGTTAGTAATTAGTACCTTTTATTTGCAAAAAGGTAGATGATGTATATGTTGTCTTAGCTGATATCTTTTAATGAAAATTACTAACATACAGAGTAAAAGTAACTTTGAAATGACTTGTGAATGTAGTGTATTATTATCTTGCACATATTAGTGTTACTGGTATAAAAGTTTTGTATTTAGTGCTGAGTTTTACTGTAAGAGTAACTGATATTGGTCTTGTTAGTTATTTTACAATTTATCAGTAGATGTATCTTTGTTGGTGGTTTTATTTACATGATTGGACAGTAATCGTCATTTCCTAGTTAGACATGTGTTAAGTAAGTTCTTTTTTTTTTGATACAACTAAATTTAATATAATGTTTGAGATTTTTAAATGTGCAAATTGAATCAATAAAAGGGGAGTAATATTTGAGGGAAATGTCCTTTGAGATGAAATGTTAAAACTTTTAGTTTATTCACAGAGAAACTATTACCCTCTGTAACAGGAAATTTTAGAAGCTAATTTATTTAAGAAAAATAAGTTTAGAGTAAACAAGGACATTAAAAATTTTTACATTAGATATCATTGGTTTCAGTTAGGGTACATAATTTTTTAGTGAAAAAATTTCCATCTAATTTGTGTTTTTAGGATACACTGGACTCTGCTTCCATTTCTCCTTTGACAAATCTATATTTGTGCATAAAATATTTATTTTGGATAGTTATAATTGTTTTTAGTCTTCTAAGTCGTGATGTATTTCTTTGAGGTAGTATGAAAAATCTGTTTAAAACTGGGTCATTAAAAATTTATACGGTATTTCAGTGTGAGTGGGTGTGAACTACCAAATAATAAAAACTGCATTTTGACTATTGTTAGGCTACTTTCTGTTGAATGTTTTGGCTATTGTTTAAGAGAAAGTATATTTTTATAACAAAAAATTTAAATACAACTCATTTTAAAATATAAATGGTTGGATAATGACATATTACGTAATTATGATCTAATTTTTATTAAAGTAATTAAATGATAGATTATAAAAGATAGCTTGAGTGTAACTCACAAAAATGTTCATAATTTAACAGTACAAGTTTTTATTGTATTTGATTTTTATTATTTGCGTTATTGTCCCATTTGAAGATGCTTTTATGTACAGGGCACAAACTTAATGTTTATTCTTGCATTGTTAACCCTAAAATTATTTTTGGTGGCTCATACCCCATTGGCTTTTTAAACTGTTTGTGGTTCCATGACTTTAATGGTTATAGGGTCCCTAAAACATTACAAGTTGCACAGAATGTGGAAATAAAGAAACATAATTATTGTAATTACTCCAAATAATTACTGAGCTTTGTAACATGCAAACAAATGTAAAGTAAAATGTAAATAAATTTCATTTTAGTGTTGCACGAGACTATGTGAGATTGTTGAAATATGGAGATTCGTTATATCGATGTAAGCAGTTGAAACGAGCAGCATTGGGAAGGTGAGTTATACAATAATTTGCTTGTCAGCTCTGTTAGTGTAATTTTACTGACATACAAGATTAGTTAACTGTTGTGTGCAATATGTTAGTAACATAAAATGTATAAACCTCACTAATATCATATTACTATAACTATCAGTGGTTCAAGTTTAAAAAATTTTCATCTGTACAAAGTTAGAATGTTATTCTATTTGCCTCATTTGACCCAAGTTCCAATGTCTTTGATATCGTTTGTGAAAATATTTAGCTGATTCATGGTTTAAAACTTATTCTGAATCTAGCCTCTTGTAATAAATAATATAACCGGATTTTATGATTAATGGTTACTTACACAAAAATGTTCTAAATTTCTCCAACTTGTTCTTAAAACACACTTTATGATAGCCACACCTTCACTATGATGGTGTTGGAGACCGGTGTGTTAGATAAAGCAGAAAGATCAATTAGCAGAACTGCTACAATGAGTGGTTCTGTCCAGTCAGCTTTCTGACAAATATTTTCTGTTACAAGTTAAAGGTGTTTATAGTAGCATATTGAAAATAACATCTTTGAGCAGAATGATTTTTTCATTTCAACAATTATTGTAAGAATTCCAGCTGAAGTATAAAGTGCAAGTTTTTAAATTATTTGGTCATTATTTTCTACAGGAAGACTTTTGATTTAAAATTATGATTATATTGTTTTTTTGTGGTATTTTTAGGTTTTTTTTCCTAAACTGATATGTATTTGTAGAATGGCCACAATTATGAAACGACAAAACCAGTCTCTTCAGTATTTGGAACAAGTGCGCCAACACATTTCAAGATTACCATCCATAGATCCAAATACCAGAACACTTCTAATTTGTGGATTCCCTAATGTAGGAAAGTCCAGTTTCATCAATAAGGTAAGCTATTAAACCTATTAAAATACAATTATAAGTAAAAAAGGTTGAGTATGTTTCAATGAACTGTTTTTGAATATGCAAATCAGCAAGTCACAGGAGACCCACAGCTGATATAAAGTTATGGTAAAATAAAATATGTATTGGAGATTTGAAATTTTGAAGGTTGAGATATCCCTTGTACTTAAAAGCATTTGAAAACAAAGGAATATTAATGAACTATAGGTCTTGGAGCACCGCACCATGACTATATAGAAAGAGATCCAGGCAACAGGACACAACATAATCAAAAAAGTCCTTTGTATGGAAACAAGGCCATGGGGGTATGGGTTCATAAAAATAAAGCTTCCCGTCGTACCTCCATTTAACTCTATGAGTACGGGCTGGGTGGAATCCACCCAGCCTATATCCACCAAAGTAACCATGAGAGCAGTAATTCTATAACTTTTGATGATGTTCATGTATCTTCATGAAATTTTGCAGGTTATCAGCAAATGTTACAAGGCTTTCATTCAGAGATTGTATGACAATTTGTACTCAACCTGTGTATTACAAGTTATTTGATGAAGAAAAATGATAAGAATAAGATTTCTTAATGAACAAAATTGTTTTAAGCATAGATACTGTTTACAAAAAAAAACTTTAATTGTGAATCAGTTGAGTAGGTATGATGAACTAAGATCCAACTCCAAGGTTTTTAGGAACCAGTGACGTGACTTAAAGTGTCTGACCTCTCAGTTATTTTTATATATATGTATATACAAACACTTTTATGCAGCAATCTGTTCTACAACATTTTTTTGTTTTGTTTTATGTTCCACATGTAGATTACAAGAGCAGATGTGGATGTGCAACCTTATGCTTTTACAACGAAATCTTTGTATATTGGGCACACAGACTATCAGTATCTCAGATGGCAGGTGAGATATGGGTAGAGCTGTTGTTAGCTTTTGTAAATAAACTGAATTATAATAGTCTTAATGTTCAGAGGTTATCTAGGCTTGCAGGGATAGAAATAATGAAATAAACTTGTATTCTCTCGAGTGAAAGCTATCAGGAAGATTACATTTTTATTTAATCCATGAATATGTTCACTTTCATTTGTCATAACTAAAGGAATAAGGATGGATCATGCATTCCCAATCTGAAAAGCTGACTAAAAAGTCGAAATTCCTCGGGAATGCTGGAATGTAATATTTCAATCCCTGCTTGGGCCACACGTTGATAGCTATTAGTTTTTGTATAGTTTAAACCATTCTTAAATACATCAGCACTTCATTTCATTGGATATAAACAAAACGTGGATCTAAATATTCTTAGTAAACATTTTATACTACAACATATTAAGTTTTTAAAAGGGTTTAATGCTATGCTGTAGAATAAGTTTATTTATTGGTAGTATTAAGTATGGTAACTTTTAGCCCTAACTAAGCTAAAGCAGAAAAATGTACACATGTTAGTGTTAATTTATATCTATCAAATATAGGCCATACTTAATAAGACTTAACTAGTGTTAGGCCTAAGACAAGTGGGCTTAGATTTTGGTGTCTGAGGTTAGAATTTTTTTATTATTCTAAAATTCCTGTATTTAAAGAAGCAGTGAAGATACTAATTTGACAGCTGTATTGCAGGTCTCTTTAAATCTAACCTAATAAGATTCTAATTTTTGTTTTAGTTACTTCTATAACAAATAAAAAAAATTTTCAAGAAATTTAGTACATGCAACTGAAATTTTTTAAGCTTTTGCACTCGCACAGTAGAAGTCTTTCTCAAAGATTAGTCCCAATTCTTAGTAATGATAATATATTTTCAGAAATTATAAGTTATTTTAAATTAAAATATGCAATTCAGAATGCATAGTATTGCCATGCATATAAAATTGAATTTCAATATCTAATTTTTAACTTTCTATGCCTAGTTTCTTTTTCCATGATTGTAAGTTTATTCCTTGTTCATGTGCAAATGCTTCTGATCTTCAACCAAATACATGATTCATAGGAGGCGAAAAGTGCTCATACACAAGTTAGTGATGTAATTTAGATTGTTAGGAGGATAATAGTGGATGTTTCCTTGTGTGTCTGGTTATTTTTAGAGATATGGTTTGGATGTTTTAAATCTGGAACCTGTAGATAATTTTTTATTTTGTTTTTACATTTAAAACAAGGTTTTAGTCTTAGTTCTTTCATTATATACTAAGGTAATCGACACTCCTGGAATATTAGATCATCCATTAGAAGATCGAAACACCATTGAGATGCAAGCCATCACAGCTTTAGCTCATCTTAGAGCATGCGTTCTCTACATATTAGATGCATCAGAACAGTGTGGACACACTTTGGAAGAACAGGTGTGGTTTTAATATTATGTATAAAAGTATACATAAATACTGACCATTTGGGAAATGATGTTGTGTATGCTAAAAGTACATTATGAATAAACATGGTATGGTTATTCTCTATATATTTAAGTATGTGTAAAATAGTACAGTTTTTAAGTGTACATAAATTTTTCACACTAATTTATCATCTAGAGATAAAAACCATCAAATTTGCAAAGATATCTCGAGAGAGAAAAAAATTCTAACCATCCATCTTGACATGAACTTATTGACTGTTTAGAAATCAAAATATTTGTCAATACAATAATGAAAGAAAAATTCCTGTAGAACTAAATTATCAACCAATTGAGTAGGTGTGATGAACAAAGATCCAACTCCAAGGTTTTTAGAAACTTTTGACGTAACCTAAAATGTCTGACCGCTCAAATTGTGTTCTTTATTTGTGTGTAACCTATATCAAGTAGGTAAGTTTTTAAAGATATTAATATCAACTAGTGTTACATATCACTTAGCATTAGCCTTACAGTCCAAAGATAAACTGTCTTGCGTAGTTACATAAATTTCATTCCAAAAACAGAAAATATTTAGTTCTTGTTTTAGTATCGCAGCTTTAAATATTTGTAAATTTGTAATTGTGATTATAACTTCGGTTTAGTTGATGTGCGTCTACATACCTCTCGATACAAAATCTATTAGAATATATACGTGGATCTCTGATTTTTTTATTAGTAGTAAGCTTATAGAAAATTATCTTATGTAATTAGCAAATTAAATGTGTATCAAAATAGTGTTGAAGTCAGAAAATTCAAATTTTCTTCTTTAGGTCCAGTTGTTCCACAATATAAAGCCGTTGTTTGCCAACAAGGTAAAGTTTTTATGTGGGTTTATAGTTCGTAAGGTGTTAAAATTGTATTTAGGAAATATGAAAATATTTTAATTTGAGTAAAACATCATTTTCCCACAATCTAATTGGGCTTTCAATCTTCTAAATTATTACTCATAGCTAGGTGTGTAAAGTATTTCAGTAAAATGTGTTTGTAGAAAATTATTGGAAATTGTTATTTATTTTAAACTGTTCTTGTGCTCCCACTTGTTATTGGTACATAGAGTATATACCCTTTGTAGATTTAATTTTAAAGTAATACAATATAAAGGGTATTTGTATTTATGATTACCTTAATTTAATAGTTGTTGCAACTTAAACTGCTGGTTTAATTAGAAAAATTATTACTTTAATTGCTGTTAATTTGCATATGTACAATGCTAGTTTAATGCATTATTTTCTCCCCATTTTTTACATCTTAATGTTAATTACTGTGCAAAACCATAACATTAATTATTTAACATGAAGTAAAAATTACTCTTTTAATTTAACTCATTTTCAATCTTATTATAGCCTATTATTGTTGTGAACAACAAGGCTGATGTTCTGAGACTAGAAGAATTACAAGATCATCAAAAGGTTTGAAAAAAAATTTGTATATTAACCCTCTCAGTGCTTTAAATTTTGGATTGGTTCTCAAAGTTTCAATTATCCACTAACAAAAAAATGTAGAATTTGACCTTTTTCAGTACTTTTTCAATAGCAAAATCCACTAGTTGCACTTTTGCTTGGTGATGTATGCAAGCGGTACAAAATCAGGAAATTCAAGGATGTACGAGTATCCTGATTGTCACGCTATGAAGAAAAGTTTTTGTGACACTATAAATCCCGCTTGTTGCACCAAATGCCTATAAATGTCTAGTCGGATAAATCCGATTATAACATCCAAGGAATTAATGGCAACATAATATGAAATTATGAGATATCTAAAATAGTATGGGTTCAAATTTAAGGGTGAAATGTATATAAATTGTAAAAATTGGCTTAAAAAAATCAAGCTTAACACTGCTTTAATCATAAAATATTACCAGTGGTGTTACTGGGGTTAGATTTGTTTATGATAATATAAATTTTACATTCATTTGAATATTATGATTTTCATACAATAAGTTATCAGCTGTACTGAGTTAGACTGTGTATGTGCTCTAATATTGAAATGCAGCTTTGTTAATGTTTCACAGGACTAACCTAAGAAGGATAAATATATTTGAATTTTTGCTTTCATGCCAAAAGACTTATGTTTCAAAGCTCTTAAAATAAGAATGTAAGCTTTTTGCGTCATATGTAGAGTTTGTATTTAAATACCTTAAATTGTCTCACTTAGTACTTTACATACTGAGCTTGTAAAAAACAAAACTTGAATATCAAGTATATTGTATAATTAATAAGTACTCACAATATTTGTATGTAATAAATGATTAGTAACAAAGTATCTATGTAGGAAGCTGGAAGTGTATGTAATTTTTGTTGAACAGCACATATTCCCGTTTCTTCACCGTTCTGTGGTGCTGGAGACTACATATGTGCAATAGAAATTAGAAAGATAAATTAGCAGAACTATCGTCATTTAGAGGCTCTGTCTAGTCGGCTTTCTTATAAATGCTTTTAAAGTTATAAGATTAATTTTTTTTTTATAAAACTTCAAAAGCTTCATTGGAAGGAGCTAAGCCAGACAGTTAAGTTTAAAAACTAAAATTAGTATTTATTTATTTAAAAAAGTTTTGTAAAGTTAATGTGGAAAAAATTAAATTCTTATCAAAATCCATTTGACTTGTATGTATATATACTTTTGAGTTGCTTAGTTGTCATGAAAAATTCTGGTCTCCTGAAGATGGTGGAACTTTTTTCACCGAAACATCTATAGAGTTTTTAATTGTGTATTTTACTTTTAACTTATACAACAAATTATTGTACATTTTTAAATGTTAAATGTTCTGACTTATTTTATGAAAAATTAAATTTATTCTAGAAAATACTAGATTTTGAAAAGGAACAGGTGCGTGTGATGGAGATGAGTACAGTAACGGGAGAAGGGGTGATTGAACTTCGGAATGAAGCTTGCGAAAGTCTTTTGGCTCATCGCGTAGAACATAAAATGAAAGGAAAGAAAGTTACAGGCATATTGAACAGGTTGCATGTGTCTGTGCCTAAATCAAGAGATCATATAGTAAGTACTTACTATCATAGGTCTTTCTCAATTTCATTGTACATAACATTTGGGTCATTTACTTTTAAACCTATTCTTTGTTAATTTTTTGTTGTATTTAAATAAGTAGTCAATATCTAACTTTTTTTTCTCTTGCAAAGTTCATATTTTTATCAAGAATGGGCCAGGTATGTCCTTGTGGTTAGTATGCCAGACTGTGAATACAATTATCCATGGTTTGCATACCATTGCTGCAAGATTGTACCACAAACTTTAGAATCATGGGTATATTATGGGAGTGATGGTCTAATCCCAGGAGTTGCCATTTTTCCTCTAGTACGTCAGTAACAAATGAGGGGATGGCTGGCATTGATAACCCTTAGCTAGTTTTGCTCGAAGATCTTATAAAACAATGTAGAAAAATTTAACTTGCTGAAGTTACATGTACCAACAGGTGAGATTTTGGAAGGTGCTCAGTGTGCAGTGTTTCCCACTATATATGAGATTGAATGCATGCATCACTTTTAGAAAATTTATACAACTGTTACCATGTTCATCTTCTGTTTTTGAAGCCAGCACCTCCTGTATGTTTCTGTAATTTATGGATTACTATTGCTTTTCATTGCTAAACCTGGTTTTGCAACTTTGTAATATATATGAAGTAGAATTATTTGTGTACTTGGTTATGAGGATCTGTCTGAATCAATTTTGAAGAGGAACTTGGATGAATGGTTTGTGTTTTGCAGCCTTTTAATGTTAATGCATATGATGCTGATGTCAGGCAAAAGTGATATTTAACATCATGCGTAGCAACCCATGTCCCCCATTTATATTATCTGATACCTGGTGATGGTTCAGTTCAAGGCCCTAACTGCTACTTAAAGTAATCATTTCTTGTTTTATTTTGTTGTCACATGTGTTGATTGTAGTCATGGCTCACTTGCTTGACCATGCAACATGCAGTAACTAGTGGATACAAACGTTTAGAAATAATATAAGAAAATACATATACAGAACACACATTAGTACTTGTCCTCTGATTGTCCCCGAGTGGGACAGCAGTAAGTATTCATATTTACAATGCTAAAATCGAGGGTTTGCTATAACAAAACACACACAGTCCCCTCTGATTGTAAAAAAATGAGCCTTGGCAGTGATCTTAGTATGGCAATGTGGCTGAATTATTTAATGTATTTTGTTTTGAAACATGAAGACTGATTTAATAATCCATTCACCTTTCAATGCATGAGTCAATAAGCAAATCTCTACACAAACTGAAATATGAATATATTCAAGCCTGTAATCTATATCAGCTCCAAAAAATGTAATTTATAGCTCTTAAATTTGTAGTCTAATTGGAATCGACCAGGTAATTGGTTCTGGAAACTAAATTTATGAAACTAAGCTAAAGTAATTTTATTATTGATGCTATTCTTGTATCAATAACAGTTTTATATATTTTTCACTCTCTTTTTAGCTTCTTCCAAAGAGCTGTGGTTGGCTAAACGTGTTAAAACTTTTTTTCTTTTCTGTTTTTCCAACTTTAATTTCATTTCTTAGTCTTGGTAAGCCATTTTGTTGGACAGTATATAGATGTTTGAGCTCAATTGCTTAAGTGGATAGACCGTTATCGGTAGTGATAAGGTTATTAGTTTGTCTTGAGTGTTATTGATTTTTAGGCTATCATAATTTTGGTTCACTACTCTGATTAGATTTAGTAGTGTCATATATGCATCTTTCAAACTGTTACCAATCAGTGTTTTGGGGACATTAAACTTGTGAATTATCGTAGTTTTTCCCAGTATTACAAGATATTAAAGCCTGTTGCTTTGAAATGTTTTCTAGCTTGCAGTACGTATGCAGGCATGTTAAGCACATTTGTGTTGCGTGTATTTGTTACCTATTTGTTTTTTTATTTTAGGAGAGGCCACCGTTTATCCCAGAGGCTGCCTTAACTCGTAAGAAGATGATGATGGATGTGGATGACAAACCCAAAAAGAAATCAGTATGTTTTTTGTCATTAAATTTACTTCTCTTGTATCTGTGGTATATTCAAGTTCAACTGAATTCATCAAGAATATTAAGAAAGGACAGCAAGAAAAATTACAATTAATGCTTAATTGAGCTGAAATCAAGTTTGAACAAAGAAATCAACAGACTTGCCTTGGTGTGTAACACAATGAAAACACTAATAATTCAAAGAGAAAACACAGTGCATATACTAAATGCTAAATGGGCAACTTTCACTTGATTCGTGAGTTGGTTAGACTGGCTTTCTTCCCTTGAAATGTATTCCCACTAATTAGTTCACTCTAGATTTGAAATAGGTGTTTAAATTTAACATTTCTTACTTAACTCTCTCAACATTGCTTGGTCAATTTGACCGACCACATGACCTCTTTGTACTCGTTTAAAGTCTTTATAGATTTAATACTTCTAACTTTCAATATAGTGTGTATATCTCCGAAACTAGTCTGGCTCACAGACACACCCCCAATGAAAGAATAGACCATTCCAAGCTTTTAATTGTTATTAAACAAATGTTTAAACAACTATTCAATTATGTACCAGCTGCCTGTTGTCAGCTGAAAATACGAAGAATTAAATTGTGGTGGAATGCTACAAGTTTTTCAGATACCTATAGAATGATAATTTCTTTTTTGTGAGGGTAAAACTCTTAAATACACCATTTTGATGTTTGACTAATTATCCTGCCATAAAAGTTGTAACTCGTTCTGTGAACATGTATTGTGTATTGTTGAGTATTGATTGACATAGTTCATGAGCATGCTTCATGGAAAATTGAGGCAACATATTGTCTACCCTAATAAGGTCCTAATTTATATACATTAGTTACTTTTATAACAATAAATAAAAAATATACATGAAAAATAAAAAGTATTACTCTTAATGTCTTATTTTTTTGGCTCTTGGTTGCCAAAGCTTACTTTTTGTAATAATCGTTCTATCATTGTGAGATAAACTTTTGAACCGAAAAGAAAATTGACAATAATCTGTAATGAAAATGTAAAATTATAGATAATTTTTTGGATTAAAACTTTCTCTTGGTCATAAATGATATAAGATGTTAGAGAAAAGTAATGTGAAAGAGAGGATATGAAGTGGGTGTGGTAAGTGGACCTGACTTTCAAGTTTATGTCTGTAAACAAAGAAAATTAAAACCTATAAAAAATTAAGACTGCCTTAGCAATATCTATATTATAATGAGTAATTTGCATTAAAACTCTGTACTTGGAGGCAAATAAATTAGAAAGTAAACAAGACCTAGAGAATGTAATGATTCACTTATAAGGGGTAATTGGTGATTTATTTGATTAACTAATTACATTTTGATGTCAAGTTTATTCATATTGATAATAAAGTAGCTTAATTAAATTTTGAAAGTAACTAAATGGTCGTGGCATGTGCAATTTGACTACCAGTAGCGAGAGGGTTAACGGGAAACATCAGATTTACCCATAGTGAATAGTGGTTACCAAAGGATACGGTCACTCGATATAGATTAGACCATAACCTCAAGATATCGTGTGACCTACCATTGGTGGACACTGGCTGTTGACATTCTTACACAATTTGCACCTTTTAGCCCTATATCCTTGGGCAGAACAAATGTTGTCATTATAGAATGACAAAGGAACAAAAGCAGTTAGAATGAAGCCAACTTAACTTTCTTGACCAAGTGCATAGACTTGAAATAAGAGAACATCATAGGTGTGTTTTTAAAAAAAAAGGTGAGATTTTGTAAATACCAAAAAACAGTGAGTAGGTGATCTAAAAGTTTATTTTGTTTTTTAGGAACGAGAGATAGAGTTGGAACTGGGTGATGAGTATATACTTGACTTGAAAAGTAAGTGTTTTAAACTTTCATATATATATATTGTAAAAAATATTTTCATTTGGTCATTATGGATACAATGGAAATTATTCTTAGTATAATGGATGTTTTATAGATTTTTACACCCAGAAAATTAAAATGTTTTAATTGGTACATATTCAACTTATTAGCGTGTTTATTAACAGTAGTAAAAATAAACTTAGTTTTATTAAATTTGCTGTTTTTAAAATGTGTAGAAACTGGAACACGTCAAAAGAAATCTGCTAGCTTAAAACTAAGTTGAAAATGGCATCCCATAAGTAGTGATAGTTCTATTTTATTTATCTTGAAATTTATAACAGTATGCTGTTAAAATGTAAGAAAGCTAATCCTAGTTCATACCAACTATAAGTCTGTTTTTAAATTATGAATCTGAAAATAAAAGTAAAAAAACTATGCATGGGTTGAAACTGAAAATTACTAACGATTGAGTTTTTTTTGTAAATGAAAAGTGAGTTCCAGTTGTTATTAGTTGTGTTAAAGCCTATTAATTAATTAAAGCATGCTGCTATGAAGTATGATGGAACTGTTTCAAGTGGTATGAATTCTTTCTTTATAATTTATGTAGTTAAAGCAATATGTGTAATGTGACTTTGATAAAAAACTTTGGTTTATGAATGTGTAAAAGATGTGATTGAAGGAGTATAACACTTTGTATAGCAGGTTGGTAGCTGTTACACCATTTGTAGGGCCACTTCTGAAGAATAATTGATTTTATTTTCAGAAAATTATGATTTACCAGATGAACAGAAATATGATATACTCCCAGAACTATGGCAAGGACACAATGTCTGTGATTATATTGATCCAGAGATTTTGAAGGTGTGGTGGTTTCCTTTGTTTTTATCACTTTATAAGTAACAAGTATTTATTAATGGCAAGAGTATTAATATCTGATAATGCTTGCATTTGTTCTGGCTATCAGTTGATTGAATAAATAAATACATGGTTCACGCAGGTCCTTCAAATTGTAGAAAGTCAAGGGAAAAAGTTCTAAGATTTTCAGTGCTAAAATTCCAAAAAAACCTGTTTTTAAGTTATTTTTGTGGAAAGTCCTGAATTTTTAGTTTCAACAAGCTAATTCTGCACAAAATAATTTGTTTAAATAAATTAGAACAAAAAATGGACTTGGTTATGAGAATCATGTTTTACATGATGGTAATTGTGAATCTTGTGCCTCGTGAGACTGTTGATGGACATTTTTGATGACAGAAAGTGCAAACATGGCAAGATTTCAGAATTCTGGAAATTTGAGTAAAGATTCTAGGAAAATGCAATTTTCTTTTGTGAATATTAGACCTTGGTAGGTGAATAAGCATTATTTTCAGCTGGTATTAATTGGAACATTATAGATTTTATGGAAGTACAAGATTTACACTTTACTTAATTCTGTCTTATGGCAAAACTGGTTTACTGTAAGACATCTTGGTTGAACACCTTGGAAAGCAGTTCCAGTGATAATAGTGCTGATGTTTTGCTATATGGGAGGAAATCTGAGCAGTTTTGATAAGAAGTCGCACTATTTTGAAAGCTAACTGATACAAAAACTTTCATTATAGCTTGAACTAATTACCTGTCTTTATTGTATTTGAGTGATAAACTTTATGTATAATCTATAAAAAAAAAAATAGAACAAAAGAAAGCAATAAAAAATTCCTATTCATTATATAAGAATCCATGAGCAAAGGAGAATGTGGAATAATATATCATCCACACTATGTCTGCCATATTCAGTGCTGACAAGCTCTTTTGTCAAATACCAGGGCTCATCAGGCTAACTGGAATACGACAGACATAGCAGTGGCCTTGACACTATATGTATATCATCAATTTTCATGATCAACAGCTATGGTAATGAACCAGGTAAATCAAGTGAATGGTAGTTTTTATCAATTTTATTTAAGTCGTTTACTACTAATGTGTATGTTGGAATTAATAAGGTTTAAATCTGGTTTTACAAACTTCAGAAATTAGAGGAATTAGAAAAAGAAGAGGAGTTGAGAACAGCTGCTGGATTTTATGATGTTTCTGAAAGTGAAGATGATGAAGAAATGAAAGAAGTTAGAGAAATGGCAAAAAAGTAAGTATATTACCCCCTTTTTTTTGTCTTTACCCATTATGTTACACTATTCATAAATTGAATAAGGAATCTTGAAAGAAGTAAAAAAAATGAAAGAAATACCTTTTTTTTTTGGAATGATAATTTTTCTTCAAAAAGTAAATGGTAGTATAACATTTTTGGAGGAAAAGATATACTTCTGTGATTACTAATTTAATAATTGTTTTTTGATGAACAGGATTCGAGAAAAGAAGGGGATCCTCAGGATTGAGTCCCAGCTAAAGAAAAGTAGTACTAAACCCAAACTTCCAAGAACTGCTAAAAAAGTAAGATTCCTAAACATTCTTAATATTGTTTTAATGATTAAACTGAAGAAGAACTTGAGCATTTTTTTATAACCCTGTAAGTATGAAGTTATTTTTATTTTGAAGTTTTTTTTCAGTAAAACTTTTTTCTCTCAATCTTAACCCTAACACTACTTTCCAACTTTTTCTGCTTTTTTCAAAACTTAACCACTGTCATGTACAAGTTATTCAAATTTTATATTTTTGCTTTTAAGTTTAAAAGTTAGAAAATTCTGAAGAGGAAAAATCTTAATTGAATTTTGAAGGTAGAAGTGGAGATTGTAGCAAAAGTTGAAATGTATTTTT